TTGAAGGTTCCCTGTGATTTTTCATTCCAAAATTAGTATCTAGTACGGGAAAATAAAGGGAACATTGAATAGGAGTGGAGAATAACAACTCTCCATCAAGAATTATTATTCGAGCTCTTAGAATTATCAGTGAGCCCGAGCTTAATCATTTGGAGTTTTATATTAGGACGAACCGAATGTTGACTGTCACATGGTTTTCAAATATAGTGCCACATCCTTTACTTAAACACTTGACACTGGTTTAACTGCTTCTCCGTTCCGCGGAAATCTTCCAAACTACAGTCTTATACAGAATTTAAAGGGTGGGAAATATAAAGAATATGCCTTGTTTCCAATATCATTTTAGGGATAGAAGGCAAGAATATTTATAGGTTTACGTGCGGCCTCAATATTTTAGAACTTTCTGGAAATACTAAAAAAATCACTAATAAAATCGGTAATTTTTCGATCAAGATTTAACATATATCAGAATGGATTTTGTGGAGAGTTTTAGAAATTTCACAGGTTGAAATCATGAGTCGATTAAAGCTAGACTACCATGGAAAACCTGGAAGCACTGGACGGCCGTTTCGTTTTAGTATGGGACTCCGCAGCAGTGTGCATCCGCGATCCTGGGTTCGAGCCCCGCGTGGTGCGGGATCGTGGATGCGCACTGCTGCGGAGTCCCATACTAGAACGAAACGGCCGTCCAGTGCTTCCAGGTTTTCCATGGTGGTCTAGCTTTAATCGACTCATGATTTCAACCTGTGAAATTTAACATATCGTTCATCGTTTTCCTAAGCGTTCCGGAAAGTTTATAACAAATGATGATTTGATGAAGTATTTTCACCCTTAACTCTCGTAAATGTTTTCCAGATACTGTCATGGGCTGCGAACAGGTTGTCTACCTAAAATGAATCCAAGATTATCCTTATTATCCTCATTTAATTAGACACAACGGATAGTAGCAAAGCAACTAGGTGGTCAACTAACGAAATGATATTCAAATTCATTTGATATTGTATGTTTTAATCTTCCCATTGATGTTTAGGATTTCAATTGATCAGTTTCTTATTGGTATATATGCATCTTGTGTGTATTGCCTCGATATTGCTTTAGGTCACAAGCATTATAAGCAAAGATGGATGGTGGTTAGTAGTGGAATCCAGGACGCGCGTCTCGGCCCTCTTGGGGATCGTCAGCTGGAGAGACTGATCAGTCACAGTCCTAAACATCAATGGGAAGATTCAAGCTGACAATACCAAATGAATTTAAACTTCACCCAATTGCGCAAGCAAATGGCTATTACAACTAAGTAGCTAAGTGGGTAGCGCGATCACGTTTGAAGCGAATGGTACTGGGTTCGAGCTCTGGAATGAATACTAACTCTAGGATGCAGGTACACCCAGATGACGGCTCCTGAATCGGGCGGAACGTTCGTCCTGGATCCCACTGCCAGCTACCATCTATCTTTGCTAAAAACGATATTCGAATTTTTGTGTTATACAAAAAAGCATTAAATTATATTTTCATAGTTGACACTAGTTATTATTTAACAGTTTACAGAATTGATTTTTCTAGTACTCCTCAATCAATTGAACGCAATTATGATAATAATAACTAAAACACATGACATACTTATCAATTAAACACGCTATCATAATCAGTAAAGATCAACATTTCAATCTCACTCATTTGCCATTTTTGACAAAACATAAAGTGCTTATTAAAACTTAAACTAATGGTTCATTAGTATATGCACAGATTCCGCTACAGTTTAAATAAAATTGATCTTTAAAGAGCTGGTATGATGGGAAATAATGCTTATTACAGCTAGACAGTGAGTGTGTAGTGAACAGAACACGGCTGGGGACAGTCGAATGTGTTTAACACAAGCTTACAGGACTTGTTAATAAAATCTAACAATCATAAAATAAATGCTTAATTTGCAAAATGTCCATCAATTGTCTCAAAATGATTCAGACTTCATTGTTCTTGCATTTTCATACAAATTGCATCCTGTTTCCATTCTTTACAGTTCGATCCTCTTGTCTCTCTGCTGTCAGACCTTCTGTTCACGACTAACATCATATATTACTTATGTCAATATAAATAGCACACACCACAAGTATAGAATCAATGAAGGCCAAAATAATCTTAGATAACTACTTGAATTTGGTTTAAGATTATCAGTCAGAAGTGCTAAACTACCACCTTATACAGTTGGAATATAGCATCGTTTTTTAGGTATCATAACGTTCGAGACATTGAATCTGAATCTAATAGTTTACTTCCTCAAATTCATTCTGTGATATTTTTGAGTAACGAGTTCAATCCAAATTTCATTAACTCCACAAATTAGTTTTTTCGCTATTGGAACTTCGGAAAACTCATCTTTTAAAGTTAATTAATAGGATAACATAACTGTCCAGTGCATTTTGGTTTATAATAGTTCTTTAATTAAGATCAGTCAGTGATGAAAATCACCATTTAAGATCGATATCTAGTGAAAATTGTTCAACAGATAAGAATTTTTCGAAATAAACAATCAATGTTTAGTTCTCTGTGGAAACGTTCTAAACATTTTATCCCATTCTTATCAATTGACTCATCATTTTAAATGATATCCTATGGTTGCGATCATGAGTCAGTTGAGGCTAGACCATCATGGAAAACGTGGAGGCACTGGACGGCAATTTCGTCCTATCGTGGGACTCCTCAACAGTGTGCATTCAGTGGTTAAGCGCTCGCGCGCGAGACTGATAGGTCCTGGGTTCGAATCCCGCGAGGCGGAGTCATGGATATACACTGCTGAAAAGTCTCACGATAGGGCGAAATCGCTGTCCAGTGCTTCCAGGTTTCCCATGGTGGTCTAGGTTCAACTAACTCATGATCTCAACTACTGAAATTACTACAATCTCCACAAAACCCCTTCTGATGTACTATAAGTTTATTCAGTGGGAATATACAATTCACAATGGACTGATATCTTACATTAAGTCTAGTCTGGTTCAACATTGAATTTACAGTGACAGTTGTAGCTAATTTAGTAATGATGTATCTGTCAAAAACAGGTACTCCTATCAATTGCCATTCTCATACACAAAATATTTTGGTTGTTATCCAGTTATTTACTTCGAAATGGATTAACCTAATGTGTGTGTTCACTAGATTGGTAACTAATTTCTGCGTCAATTATTTTAGTACTAACCTGAATAGTAGTGAAGGTTAGCTAATAGTAGATTAGTTAGTTAGTTATCACTAACACTGAGTTTGGTAAAAATTTAAGCCCAGGTTGCCATGTCATTTTGAAATGAACAGTAAAGAAGTCGAAATAATTTCAGTGAAAATTATAATGAGAAGGACCAAATATTGAAAAAATTGTTCAAGATATGAAAATAAAAATTCGAGATCTGGAGGGAGATAATAAGTGAATGTCATTGTAAACAAGCCTTAATGATGCCGTCAAAAGTCTCCAACCTTTGTTTACGGTTTCTATTTACGCGGACCACAAACAGGTAGTCTGCACTTATCAAAACGGTCCACTCCAATAGTCAGTGACTTCATGGATCGACGCTACACCTTGGTTTAGTTATTCCTTTTTTAATCAGAACTCCTACACCACTAAACATCATTCCTCGAGGTTGAAATTGGTTAATCATACGTTGCGTATATTCAAGCTACTTCAGTCAATGTACATTTATAATATTATCAGCTGGTACGCTCTCTTTCCTTAATATGCTGTGTCCAACCTTGATATTAACCACTCGATTCTTCCACGACACATGAATGATACTTTGGAGACATTTATAATAGAAACTCTAGCATTTCCAGCCATCGAGTAATTCACTGTGAACTGCAGACTCCTTATGATTGTACTAGTTCTGATTTGAAAAGTCTATAACGTTCTTATAAGCAACGTTTCATAACTTCAATGACATTTAAATTTAATAAATAACGATTAAGTGATCGTAAGTAACTAAAATGTTTCCTAGTTAAATTTAGCAACAAGAAATAATAAGTAAATATATGTAAATTGTACCAGATCGTTTACAATGGTTCATCTACAGATTTATGCCTACAAACAAATTTTCATGTACCAAACGACCATAAGACTGGGAATATAAGGAATATACATTTCTTGTCAAATTATGGATCTAGGTAACTATAAGATTATCCCTCGTATTTTAACAGAGGATAAATAATCCAAATACGTAAGACATAACAATTTAGTACGAGCATATTTTAAGACAGCGTTGCAAGAAATTTTCATTGTAACTATAGAACGTTTGATATCACGAGCTAATCCCAATTAGGAAACAAATGAAAACCAACGAACACTGGACAACTTTTTCGTCATATTATGGGAATTCCTTGTGGCCACTAAGATTCCACCAAATAGTTTTTACATCTAACTTCAATCACTCCAGAATATTGTGTGGTAGGTAAATGCCTCATACTTGGCATGTTTGAGCTCAAATGGTCATGGTTTTTCACTAGGAAGATTAAGTACTTACAACGAGACAGAAGGTCTTGGGTTTAACCCTCAATCAGATCACGGATGCTCAATTCCTAGGGGTCCTACACTAAAACGGAACAGCTGTTTAGTGCATCCTAGTTTTCAATGGTTACTTGAATAAGGTCAATCCATGGTGTAAACGATGGAAATTCAACAGTCTCCACAAATCTCCTTATCCAAACAAAAAAAGCACTCAATTACATTGAACAATCAATTCGTTTGTTGATACATGATTATGTAATACTTAAAATAAAGTAATTAACAAGTGAATTAAAGATGACTATTTTTATAGGTTTGCCTCCAGAAATTAAAGTGATGAGATATTAACGAGGTATTTCTATTTGAAACAACTTTTACACATCATAGAGATATCGAATGTGTATTTAAGCTGAACCATAAATTACAAATACTGATTTTCATTAATTATAAATTGAATTCATATTGAAATATAAAATAATTAAATTGAAATCTAAGTTTTGTAAAGAAACAAATAAAAACTCACTTGAAGTGACAAATAAAAATGGTTTCCTTTTCGTTATTGTTATCAATAATTAAATAATAAAACTTTCAAGGTCACTGTTAATTGACGCCATATTCTGATTGGTAAATCAAGTCATGAGATTAAATGATAGTTGAATAATGACGGTTTGAAAACATGATGTACAGTATCTATCTATCTATCTATCTATCTATCTATCTATCTATCTATCTATCTATCTATCTATCTATCTATCTATCTATCTATCTATCTATCTATCTATCTATCTATCTATCTATCTATCTATCTATCTATCTATCTATCTATCTATCTATCTATCTATCTATCTATCTATCTATCTATCTATCTATCTATCTATCTATCTATCTATCTATCTATCTATCTATCTATCTATCTATCTATCTATCTATCTATCTATCTATCTATCTATCTATCTATCTATCTATCTATCTATCTATCTATCTATCTATCTATCTATCTATCTATCTATCTATCTATCTATCTATCTATCTATCTATCTATCTATCTATCTATCTATCTATCTATCTATCTATCTATCTATCTATCTATCTATCTATCTATCTATCTATCTTTCTTTCTTTCTTTCTTTCTTTCTTTCTTTCTTTCTTTCTTTCCTTCTTTCTTTCTTTCTTTCTTTTTACAGTTTTCAAATTTTCTGATGTTTATTACTATTTATGATAAGGGTTAAATCCAACCAGACTATACATTTAATCTTCATGTTACTATCGATACAAATAAATAATCAGTTGAATATGACATGCGATTGTGATATAGAGTTGAGTCAATCTGAATCAAGAACATGACTCTCGGATTCCTGTGTGAAATCCACAACAAATTAAATCACATTGACATTTGAGTAAGAACAACTGTTTATTTTTCAGAGTGTTTAGAATTATTAGATAACGTTTTATTGATCGTTGAGTAAAATTGACATGGTGAAACATATTATATCTTTACTTCTTTTTATGTAAATCGCACGTAATATACAAATCAATGAGTCTTTATTTCAATTTACTTGATACATATAATACATTCTTGAAGAAATCAGTTTATCTGTTATTCATCAAATACAAATCAAACTGGTGAAGTAGGAATGTTAAAACAGATTTGAGTAAGCATCAAGAGAATTCAGCAAAGATTTTCTTTTCGATGGCATCATTGACTTAAGCTGTACATCCTTATTTATAGTTATGTGTCTATACATATGTCTATAGAAGGATAGAAAAGATTGCAGCATAAAGTGATTCAGGACTCTAAATATTAAGTGAGGTTGTGTAATAATCAAGGGCTAAGAGAAGAATATAAGGATGGAAATAATTTACAGGTCTGAATTATAAGAGGTAATTGTCCAAGTGACAAATTAATATTTCCACATATAGCTTCTTCATACCGTTGTCTTATAATTCTGTTACACTAACTCTTAGGAGAGTTTGTAAACGAGGATAAGGTCCTACATAACTATTTATGAATACAAGAAAAACACCAAGGACGGTACTATTTCGTGTGAATATATTCACATTTAGATAAATAAAGTTAAACAGAGACATTTCTACAATATTAAGATGGAGAAACTAATATCGTACTTTGAATAACTGATTAACTTTATACGACCAAAATACGCTTACATGTCCCTCATTACTCATGTTATAAAATATTTTTGATTTGCACAAGATTTCAGTTGATTATTTGAATGGTATCTTTAAAATCATAAGGTCAATTCAATAATAATACTTATCATGGGCTCACTAGTGACTAGCTTCGTGAGGGAATTCTCGAAGTTCTAGTGAGAAGCCGTGAACAGTGGAGCTAATCCATGACAAGAACAGACAGGTATATACCTCAGTAAAATGCTAGGCGGTTGCGTGATTTCGTGAGTTGGTTGAGGTTAGACATTAACACCGTTGAATGCCAACTTAGTGGTCTAGAGAATAAGTGTTCGCACGCGAAATCGATACGTCTTGGGTTCGATTCCCAGGTGTGGGGTTGTGGATACGCACCTACTGTCCAGTACTTTTAGGTTTTTACTGGTGGTCTAACATCAATCGGTTCATGATCTCAATTAAAAACTTTATAATCTTCTTAACCTCATACTGATCAAAGTTTACTGTTGATTCATTCGTATTTTATAGTTAAACGGAAAGTGAGGTACTCAAGATATCTGTTCCAATTTTAGACAATAACTCCGCCTGGAGTCCCTCCGGGGGCCACTGCCGGTCCCAAGCCCGGATAAAGGAGGAGGGTTGGGCATGGGGTTAGCGACCCCATCTCGTAGAAAACTAACTCGCTAAAAAAACGCTAACCAGAAAAAATTATTCAAACCTTTTAAACTCTGCCCCAGGAGTCAGAAGGTCTTCATTTAGAAGAATTATGACGCCTCATGATGAAAGCCGAATTCCTTCGGAAGTTACGAGGCCGATGCCCCTTCTGACAACCAGTCCAACCATTTATTTAGGTACATGGAATGTTCGTACAATGTGGGACACCGGGAGAGCCTTCCAAATTGCTGCAGAAATGAGAAGATACAACCTACAGGTGCTTGGGATCAGTGAAACACACTGGACGCAAGTTGGATAACAACGACTACATTCAGGAGAGCTTCTGTTATACTCCGGGCATGAAGAAGAAAATACTCCACACACACAAGGAGTTGCATTGATGCTGTCCAAACAAGCACAAAATGCACTGATAGGATGGGAATCCCATGGACTAACGACCATCAAAGCCTCCTTCAAAACAAAGAAAGAGGGCATTTCAATGAACATCATCCAATGCTATGCGCCTACCAACGACTACAATGAAGAAGCTAAAGATCAATTCTACGATAGGCTGCAGTCAATAATCGAGAAGAGCCCAACAAAGGATCTCACCATTCTGATGGGAGATTTCAATGCCAAGGTTGGAACGGATAACACTGGATATGAAGACATCATGGGACGACACGGACCGGGAGAAAGGAATGAAAATGGTGAGAGATTTGCAAACCTATGTGCCTTCAATAAACTGGTCATAGGCGGCACCATATTCCCACATAAACGCATACACAAAACCACATGGACTTCACACCACGCAAAACCAAATCGACCATCTCTGCATCAACAAAACGTTCAGGAGGACTATGGAGGACGTGAGAATCAAGAGAGGAGCTGATACAGCATCAGACCATCACTTGTTGGTTGCCAAGGTGAAATTGAAACTCAAGAAGCACTGGACAATGGGGCGGACAATATCACAAAAGTTCAATACGAATTCAAGATAGTCCTCAGCAACAAGTTCCAGGCTTTTCATGATCTACTCAATGGAGAAGGAACTACTATGGAGAGCAACTGGAAGGAGATCAAAGAGGCAATCACTTCAACATGTCATGAGGTCCTGGGCCACAAGAAACACCATCACAAGGAATGGATCACTGTTGATAAACTGGATAAGATTCAAGAAAGAAGGAACAAGAAAGCAGCAATCAATACCAGTCGAACAAGAGCAGGAAAAGCCAAGGCACAAGCTGAATACACAGAAGTAAACAAACAAGTGAAGAGGAGCATCAGAACCGACAAACGTAAATATGTGGAAGATTTAGCGACGACGTCGGAAAAGGCTGCAAGAGAAGGAAACATGAGACAACTGTATGACACGACAAAGAAACTATCTGGAAATCGCCGCAAACCAGAATGACCAGTGAAAAGCAAGGAAGGCGAGGTAATCACCAACATTGAAGAGCAACGAAACAGGTGTGTAGAACACTTCAAAGAACTCTTGAATCGACCAGCTCCACTGAACCCACCCAACATCGAAGCAGCACCCACGGACCTCCCAATCAATGTTGGCCCACCAATAATTGAAGAAATCAGCATGGCCATCAGACAAATCAAGAGTGGAAAAGCACCAGGACCAGACAACAATCCAGCAGAGGCACTAAAAGCAGACGTAGCGGTAACTGCAAGGATACTCCACATTCTCTTCAATAAGATTTGGGATGAGGAACAAGTACCAAAAGACTGGAAAGACTACTGATCAAAATACCAAAGAAAGGAGATCTCAGCAACTGTGATAACTACAGGGGCATCACTCTTCTCTCAATGCCGGAAAAAATCTTCAACAGGGTATTGTTAAACAGAATGAAGGACTGCGTAGACGCTCAACTTCGTGACCAACAGGCAGGATTACGTAAGGATCGATCGTGTACAGACCAAATCGCAACTCTACGGATCATTGTGGAACAATCAGTTGAATGGAACTCATCACTCTACATCAACTTCATTGACTACGAAAAGGCATTTGATAGCGTGGACAGAAAAACACTATGGAAACTTCTTCGATACTACGGCGTGCCTCAGAAGATAGTCAACATCATACGGAATTCATATGATGGATTAAACTGCAAAATCGTGCATGGAGGACAGTTGACAAAGTCGTTCGAGGTAAAGACTGGTGTCAGGCAAGGTTGCTTACTCTCAACCTTTCTCTTTCTCCTTGTGATCGACTGGATCATGAAAACGTCAACATCTGAAGGGAAGCACGGGATACAATGAACATCTAGGATGCAGTTGGATGATCTAGACTTCACAGATGATCTGGCCCTTCTATCCCAGACGCAACAACAAATGCAGGAGAAGACGAACAGTGTGGCAGCAGCCTCAGCAGCAGTAGGTCTCAATATAGACAAAGGGAAAAGCAAGGTTCTTTGATACAACACAGCATGCACCAATTCAATCACAATTGACGGAGAAGATTTGGAAGATGTAAAAACCTTTACATATCTGGGCAGCATCATTGATGAACAGGGTGGATCTGATGCAGATGTGAAGGCGCCGATCGGCAAAGCAAGAGCAGCATATTTACAACTGAGGAACATCTGGAAATCAAAGCAACTGTCAACCAACACCAAGGTCAGGATTTTCAATACAAATGTCAAGACAGTTCTACTGTATGGGGCAGAAATCTGGAGAACTACGAAAGCCATCATCCAGAAAATACAGGTGTTTATTAACAGTTGTCTACGCAAAATACTTCGGA